TATACTAATTTAAGATTTCCAGAAAACCAGGGGTTATTTTTGGAGTACCTCTTTTTGAAGTTCAGTTTTTTTCTGAGAAGGCTTTAAAGGTATGAATAAAATTTGCATGCAGAAAGCTGATACATGTACAATTCAGGATATACCTGGTTTCTATGAAGTTAAACTTAAGATAAAATATTTAGAAAGCTGTGAAAATTGCAAAATTTGGTTGAACAGATAGGGATATTTAATTGGTGGTCTGACACCTTTAAGTGACATGCAGTGAAATCCCAAAATCAGAAAACGATTGATTTTTTTTTTGTCTTAACTGATCAATTGAAATGATAGTAGCCACATTTCAATCTTTTTTTGGGGGGGGGGGGCAAAAAGTCAGATATTGCAAATTTACAGCCTTAAACCTGAATTTGTGCTATTTTTAGCTTTTCCCACCTTGACAATATGCTTTCATAAAAAAAATGTCCTAAATTGTTATAAATGGACCGTATGTTGTTTCTGTGGTGTTAAACATTAAAACATAGGTTGTTTACTACCCCAAAAAAAGTGTCGTCATGAAGATTTAATGAAATTATTTGATTTTTACCCCTTATATCATTGCGTCTTACCATGTATTTGGCAGATAACATAGCCTGATGAAAACACTGCATAAACTCACAAAAAATCCCATTTATAATCTCGAATGAAAGTTTAATACCTTAAATTTTATTGACTGATAGTAAATAAAAACAGTTAAATGACCATGACCGCACTTTTGATCAGTTATAATAGTCCCATTACTGACACCAGGCGAAAAAAGGGGGGTCAATATTCCTTGACTCTTCAATACCTTGGATTTTTTTGCTAGACTCATTGTAAAAATTGTGGAAAGTCTTTAAAGTAGTAGAACAAACAAGGAAAAATCAACAAAAACTGATCTTGAAATTGAAAGTTTATGTTCCTGTAGTCCAAAATGAAATGTTCAAGTATTTTCTATCAAAGTTATACATTACAGTCAGTTTAAATTGAGCTGTGAAATTTGTAATATATCGCATTATGCTCAGATAGGCTGTTTTTAACTACAAATTGACTAAGGATTAAGAATAAAGCAAAACAAAAAATTTCTGATCAATTTTTTGTCTCTTTAGGTGTCAGACCACCAATTACTCCCTCTAATTTAGAACGTATGTAAAAGTAGCCCTACTCTGACACAAAATAGTGCTTTTGATGTCCTTTTTTACTTAAACTAACCAACAAATTTACAGAAATGAAATTTTTGGTGAAAGAGAAATCTATTTAGACCATTTGGAGTTAAAATTTACTATCTATGAGTTTGCATTAAAAATTGAGGATTAATGCGCTCCATAGTATACTAATTTAAGATTTCCAAAAAACCAGGGGTTATTTTTGGAGTACCTCTTTTTGAAGCTCAGTTTTTTCTTAGAAGTCTTTAAAGGTATGTTGAAAATTGGCATGCATAAAGCTGACACATGTACAATTCAGGATATACCTGGTTTCTATGAAGTTAAATTTAAGGTTAAACATTTAGAAAGCTGTGAAAATTACAAAATTTGGTTGAACAGATAGGGATATTAAATTAGTGGTCTGACACCGGAAAGCACGCCTGTTCTTCAACTTGCACTTATTATTACAGAAAGCGATCTCAAGGTATTTAACATACCGAAGTGAAGAATATGACATCCTACTCTTTTATATCAGCATGTTAATTTCTATTTGGATAAATTCTTCCTCTATCAACATTTTGAGTGTCGGTTGAGAACAAAACTTTAAGACAAAAGAGAGGTTTCAGCTTCACAACTGTGAACTTTTCAATGCGATGAAGCAAAATTGAAGAGGCGCCTGCATATGGAGTATATCTCTCCTATAACTGATTATTGACGAAAATAAGACTTGCAAAGGTTTGTGTGTCCTTTTGACATTCTTCAAAAACGCTTAGCGTTAAAAATGAAATTAGAACAATTGGAAGATGTTCGGCGTTTTCTGTGGAACAGATATTGAATAATGGTCATCAATGATAGTGTCTTTAAAATTTGCGAAAATGATCTTACATGAAAAATTGTCGACCAATTCAACGACAATCCCAACAGCCTGGTTTATGGTAAAACAATAAACTAAAACAAATATAAAGGCAACAGAAGTATACCAGTGTTCAAATGTCACAAATCAATTGAGAAAAAACAAATCCAGGTTACAAACTAAAACCGAGGGAAACACATCAACTATAAGAGGAAAGCAAAGGCACAACAGGAACACTGAAGTGCAACAAAAACAAACACCAACATACAAAGAAACGAACTATTTGATGACAACTGCCATATTCCTGACATTTTAAGAAAAAATGGTGGGTTGAACCTGGTTTAATGGCTGGCCAACCCTCCCGTTTTATTACAATGTTAAAAAATATTGCAAAAAGAACAACACGACGTGACTGAAATACAGTACATACAAACACAAGAACATTCATCACAGAGAAACGCAAAAACAAATAATATAATAGTCGACACAACATACCAACCGAACATATTCCATCAACGACAGACACCGCAGGATAAAACAAACAGTGACGCGCTTACGTAACTTACATGCAATCGCGAAAATTATACAATTATTTTCCCAATACTCGTCCAAACAATTTTCATAACAATGATGGTATGGAAAGGCAATTTTATAATTATTTGGACTACAAACAATAAGACATAACACATTATTCAACCGAAACCATAACAGAAACATAAAAAATAAATACATGAATGTTGGATGTACAAAATACCGAGACACGTCATAAAGCAATGCAAATTCACACTCGGTATAACAGTGACAGACGACAACCACTTTATTAACGGCTCCTGAGTTGAGACTGGAAAATACACAATGTAGTAAGTTTTACATGTTTGCTAGCGCTCATTCATCCCCCGTCACTGGAAGAGTGGTGTAGCAGCACAAAATGTGTACAAACTGTAAACTTCAGTTGAAAAAAGTTTTGATCAGATTTCTTTGGTGTTTCATAACTGTAATTAAATTTTCTTATGGTACTAGGTTTTTTCCATATTTTAATTTTTTTCATTTCGAAAATTTTGTTTTAAGTTGTAACTTTGTTTACACTGTTACAATTTGTATGTACCCACATACATGTTTATATAATTACCTGTGGTTTTTATTTTAAATTTTGTTTACGGTCTGTGATCTTATCTATTTAGTTCTTTTTAGAACTAATTCTGATTGTTTTACATCTTTTATATTTTGATTAACTATTTTTTAATGTATGCAAGGTTGGTAATTTGCAAAACGATGGCTGATATACCAAGGGTCATAGGGACATTTAAAACTTAATTTAGTTCCCAAGGGAGTACTGATTGTTCGCTGAAGCACTCGTCCACACGTGAAAAGTTTGTTGTCAATCAAGGTATACTTGATTTTTTAAATCACTGTGGTTCTGTCGAATATAATACGTTTAATGACCTTAAAAGAAGAATGTGTAACTACTATTAGTTCATTTTTGTGAAGGTTTGTTTAATGCGACGATCTTTTCGGTCTTTCAAATAAATATGGAGAAGCAGACCTTTTGATAGTATATTACATTTCAACGGAATATATGAAATACTAGAACTCTATGAAAGGATGTTTATAGTAAAAAAGTGACAGGACATAATCAACATATATCGATGTTAAAATAAAAAAATCGAAAAATACCTTTTCGTTTTTCTTTGAGATGGATTTCTATAAATTATTTTAATCCGCTATTACATGTATTATGAGTTGTTGTTAAGTGTCAATTGATATACCGACTGCTTGTTCAAATATGTTTCAACAACAAACTGGTTGATGCTAATATGCAGTTGATCTTTATATTAGTCTTGAGGAAAGGGTGAATTTAGTTTAGAAATAAAAAAAAAATGTTTTTGATGTCATTAAAAAATATAATGATTGAGATTGAAGATTTCGGAGTAAACCTTTAAAATTCGTATACATCCGTATTTGATTAACATCTAAACACAATAAATAACAGTCTTGTTTGAAAGCCAGAAATGGAAATAGAATTGAAGTAAGAACTTTAAGAGGATGTTTATTAGAACATATAGTTAAGTCGTTTATATATCGTTCCTATGTATTAGAAATGTAGGAAACCAGTTAAAATACGTAATATTTTCATCGTCCTTTTTATGTTTATACCAAATGAGAGGACATATTTGTGTTTTAATAAAATCTTCTCTTTCGGAAATAATGTACAGGTATATGTTTGATTCATTCAGTTGATTAAACGAACCCGTGTTTTGAGTCAGATATCATTGAAATCTTCAAATGAAATTGTTGCAGGAATTGCAATGAAAAGTTAACACAGATACGGAAACTGTATATGTCAATGTATACTGTAGGTATACATGTAACAACTGCAATTCATGTTATTTCAATTAATGACAATGTACTAAAATTATGCAGGAAATAACATTATCACCTTTTGTCACAGCATCTGGGTTCAAGCCAAGTTTTGGTGGACTTCCTGCTGCTCAGACGTACACGTGTTGTGTCTTTTTTTCATTAGTTCATGTATCATTATTGCATGTGAAATACATTTCAATGTTAAAAGGGAACATTTTTGGGCTTTAATAGCAGCTTTGTGTACATTGAACAAAAACCAACACAGTTTATACAAATTGATATTAAAATTCAACGTAAACAGATATAAGCAAGAGTTATAGGTCACCACATCGTACTCTGAAAAAACATTCCGTAGAAATCAATGAACAAGACAAAAAACAAAATTATGTCGTTGTATATGCAAGAAAAACACAAGATCACCCACAGAAACCAGTGTTTAAAACAATGCAAAACCGCTCCATATCTTACACAGTTGTTATACATTTTGTTCTTTTTCTGGTATCACTTGATTTTGAATGAAGACGTTATGTTACTGTAAACATATTTTATTAAAGAAATCAATATATAGCTACAAGGGTGAAGACATAAATACGAATATACAAGAGACTCAATAATTGGGATTAGGAAACAAGAGCAGTGCTCTTATATAAATCCGTCTCCCTAAATTCGAAAATAAGATTACAATCTATGAATACATGCTGAATAGCAAACGAATAAATATGTAACAAAATACAGTCAATGATTACAATAACAAAAGGAAAATTCATAAGAAAAAAAATATATAGCAAAGGAAGGGGGTGAAAGGTGTTTTTAGAAAAAATGAGAGTGTTATTAAAGAATGAAACAATATTTTGTATATAGAGGAGGAGTGATTAATTAAAATTATTTGATTGTGGATGTGAATCGATTGCTACTTATAATAAAGTTTTGCACAGCTTTGAATATCAGTATGTTTTGTTCTACTGCGAGTCTATCGGAGCCGAAAAGTAAGACATTAGTTGAAATTTTGATTGGAATCTGTAGGTTGTGAATGTGTCTTTGGCGAGGTACATTGAATATTTTGCATTTTGATAAATAGTGTTCCGTTGTTTCAGGGTCTCCACAAACACACTTCGGGGATTGTATCAAGTTTCTGTCATAGAGGTGTTTGTTGAGTCCACTACAGTTCATTCTTATTCTCGCATGATATATTTGACCGGATCTGGAACCACAATAATAAAATAACGGCTTAATTTCACGGTTACTCTTAAAATTATTTTTGAAGGCGAGAAGGGACGGACTATTTTGTAGTTCAATTGTCTGCGAGTTCCAGGATTTTACTGTTGATGAGAGAAAATAGTTAGAGTATAATGTTGTTCTAGCTGCAATAGGTTGCAAATCATTCGCATTACGCGTATTATATTCATGTATATTACGGAACCGTTCAGGTAAAATATTATTAAGATAAGATGGAGTTATGTTAATCGGTAGGTCTAGTCTTTTAACATCTTTTTCATTTTGTCATCTCCATTCCTTTTGGCTTCATCCAAAGGTGTCAAGTTGTATCTAAATAATCGTACATTAAATGAGTTCATATTATTCATGGATAATGAATATTGAAAACAAATAAATTATCTAACAAAGACGATAGTATTGATAAAAAAGTCGAGGAAGTACTTTATTTTGGGGTTTTACCTTTTTATTCGAGCGTCACGGATGAGTCTTTCGTACACGAAACGTGCGTGCGACTTACATAATTGTAAGCCTGGTATGCATGATAATTTAATTATTTATCTATCCGACGTTTGGAGTTTTGGTTTTCTTCAACTTTTTTTTTTATTTATACAAATTCAATATAGTTACAAGAACATTGCAAACCTAAGATTTTTCTAGTTTATCACTTGACTATCGTCCTTACAACTAACAAAATGAAAACACAACTATAAAATCCTAAGAAAATGTTACATTAGAATAGATAGGATGTTTTTAAAATGTAAAATGAAACCTATAAAACATAAAACAATAAAGCCGCTGCATGAACTATGGAAACCTGCGAAATGCTCAATGTTTATCATAAATATGGTCAAATCTATAAATTTACGGTTTACAAAACTTCGAATTGTTCTTTATACAAAGGATTGTCTAACCTAGGAATAGATTAATTTAGCTGTGTTGGTAAAACCTTTTAGTTCTTCTATGCTCATCAACTTTGTACCTCATTTGTAGTTTTAACTATTTTAATTCGAGCGTCACTATTGAATCGTTTAGACGAAATTCGCGTCTGGAATATATAACGATCATCCTAGTATATTTGAGAAAATGTTTTATGTTTAAGGCTATAAAAAACTATAGTCATTACATCAAGTCTTAATCTAAATTGTCAGGAAACATAATGAATCTCTTACCTGTCTTTTTTATTTTTCTCTGCCCCTTGTTTAAGGAGAAATTCCACCAAGTAAGTATCTCCCGCTGCTGCAGCAATATGTAATGGAGACCGGTTATCGTAGTCATGTTTTTTTATCAGTGTATCATCTGTTTTTAAAAACCTGCAATTCCGTAAAAAGTTTTTTTCTTAAAAAAAAACAATTTTTGTATTCCCATATTCTCTCTCTGTCTCTCTGTCTCTGTCTCTGTCTCTGTCTCTCTCTTTCTCTCCCAGTGAGGTTCTTCATAAAATGAGATATTTCACGACCAAAATAACAAGGAATTTGTATCTATGATTCCCATTTGTGTAGTCGATATTTCAACTGATCCTTGGAAATAACTGTGTAGCAAAAACTAAAAGGTTTTGATATTAATGCAAAATTGTAATAATTGTGATTGTGGATTTTGATTATGATTAGGAATTATTGGAAAATGTTTAAGAATCCACATCTGATTGATATATCTGATAGATTATATCTCATGAAGATCATTATAACTGTAGAAAGAATGATGGAGAAAATTTTCATCGCTCATCTTGACGATCCGACTATATATCGGTCTTTTTTAGAATTTTTGTGAACTGTAAGTAGCAAGTTAAAAAGGAGAGAAAGAAACGAATTTGTGCTTTTGTAAAATTTCCTCTTTCATAAATGAAGTTATCAGTGGGATTCCCATTTTCTTGTAAATGCCTGGTTCTATAGTAAAATATTCTAAGTGATAATTTCTGCATCAGAAAGCAAATATTTGTTGAGCCTTTGTCTACCAGAAAACAAAAATTTTTCGTAAAGAGGGCTTAAAGCATACACAAAATCAGACTTTCTTGAAAGGTAAAAAAACTTTAGTTTCATGTGCATCGTAGATTTTGAATGCGCTTATGAATGTACGACCAACCAGTGTGGAAACTTTGACTATTGAAAGTTTGGGAAAATATTGTATCGCACATGATTTATTATTTAATGATTGCAGATCAATGAAAAAGAAAGATAAAGATTCGTTTAAAATGTATAAGAGAACAGAATTACAACACCGTTTATAGCGCATCTAGATATCTATGCACTCTCGACAGTTGAATTTATCATATATTCAAAACGATCGTCTAGTGTCGCATTTTTAGAATGTAAATGCTCTGTCTCAAACCCAGGAAGATTGTATCACAATCGAAGCTGTGGTGGACTATATATATATATACTTTTTTGTATCTGATTAACGTGGCTATTAACTTTCACATAAAAAAAATGCAATCGTGCCATGTATGGATATTACTTTTTGTATTCATATGGCGTTCATGTGATTGTCTATGTACATGTATGTATCGTTAGAATGTGATTTCCTGATTTGTGTGCTTGCTCCATGTGCTCTGTATATGTATAATGTGAATCAATGGTCGTATGGCAAGCAATTATGTATGTTTCCATATTGAACATTTAGGTAAATATTTCTTATGTAACAAGTCAATTACCTTCGAACTGCCAAAATATCCCCTTTGAATATTCTGTTATGGAACAGAAATATTTTTTTCTTATTATTATGCGTTTTAAATGCAGTATCTTTTTCCTTTAAAATAAAAGAAGAAAAATTAATTGTTTCAAACTTATGAATATTGCACCAAAGTAAACAGGATAAGTTACAAATCTAAAAATTTGCTCGTCGATTTTTAATGTTTTTGGGGGTGTGTTTTACCTCATTTTTATTTAATTTTTGCTTCATGAATTGGTATTTGATGAATACCTATCTCGTTGGCAATTATAACACATCATAATACATTTCATTTTGTATTCTTTATTTCCAATTAGTGTAGTGAATTTACGACGTACTGTGAACCTTTGCGGAAACGGCATTAACATATGGAAATAAACAGTGATCGATACCTTTTCTTAGAAATTTATGAGTGTTATTGGATAAACGACTATCGTAGTTGCAAGTAAAAAAGACTGTCGTATAACATTTCTATAAAGTTCCTGTTAAAACAACTTCTGTGGGTTCTCTCTTAACCAATTTCTTTTCCCTCTCGAAGTACTTTTTTAATTGACCAATATACTATATCCTTAAGTTCATTATTACATTGAAACTTTTCCAATTTTTTTCAACTGACGATTTTGATATACCTAAAATATTTATTTCGAAGTAAACGAACGATAATAAGATATAGTTTTGATTTTTTTTTTATTGCGTTTATCAATTTAGTTGTGTTGTATTCCTCTTATTTGAATAGGCTGTGAACTAGTATAATACATTTTGATTTTAGGAGTACAGTATTAAGATAAGAAAGAGGTTCCGATAGAAATATCTTGCAGAAAATATTGTTTTTTGATAACTTACAATCAAAACTTCTTCATGAAGTTATTCTTATGATATTTCAAAAATAAAAAAGGATACTGATACCATGAGTATGTTTCCAATTAACTTTTTTCACTATATATATATATATATATATATATATCTAACATATCTAATTACAAAATGTGTAAAAGTACCATTAAGGTAGATGGGGTGTCTAAATTATAATCCATAGAATTTTTTAATAATTTGCCAAAATGTAGTTTATATCATGCTTTAAAAAAAAATAATAAAAAGAATGGGTCACGGGGCTTATTTTCACGCTACAGGTTGTGCAAAATTGACAGATTTTGTATAAATTATGCATGGAAACCCCAATTGTCTGCCATAAAACGAAAACTACACCATAGAATTTTGAGATAAAATATGAGGATATAGCTCTAATAGTATGCTTTCAGATAAGAAAAAAAAAAAATGGGGTCACGGGACCCGTTTTCTTGCTACATAATAAAATAGGTAAATTCCTAACACATTCTATTGTAAAAGTAACTTTATCTGAATTATCTGCCCCTACATTTGAGTTGCCTCCCCTTATGTGGCAAAGTTGGAAAAAATAGAATCAAACAAAAGTATTCTGTTTTTCTATAAAATACAACCATAAATATGATAAAATATGTCATTTTCTCTATTGAAATGAAAATTCTTACACATGAATTACCTACTACTCTCAAAATTTGCACCTTTTATTAAAGATCTAGACCGATTGTTTTCTTGTATTTCAAAATCCAAGATGGAGGAAGACACCCTATCTACCTTAAATCAGTAAGCTTGTAAATGATCTTACTCTTCTATATCTAATAAATCGGATCATAATTATATAACATTGAGCTCTTTACTTACTATTTTTTTAGTTTCAGCATGAGACATTGCATTTTCTATAAGATTTTTTATTTCTTCAAATTTGTCTTTGATTGTTTCTTCATTTCTATCCATTTCATTCTCTCCGATGAATTTAAGTTTTTCTTTTACCAACTCAAGGGGTGTTTTTCGAGAGCTAATAGTATTACAAATAATAAAAAAGGTTATAGAAGTAAAACTCATCAAAGATACCAGACTTAAATTTTATATAGATAGACTTGTTATCAAAATAATAAAATAGAATATAACAAATGTTCAATGGTTGATATATTTATCAGTGGCGCTCGAGAAAAAAGGTATAGAAGACTTAAAAATTGATTGTAACAACTTACCAAGGAAAACACTTTAAAGATAATAATAACAATTTCATTTTATGATAGCCCTATATATATACACAAAGAAAATAGTTAAACACCCTGATATTTTAAATTATAGCATGTTACCATTAATTTCAATTTAAAAGCGAATAATGATTTTTACAAGACCAGTGTTCTATTAAGAGCCAATCTGCCAGAAAACCATGCAAAACTTTCCGAATGTCACTTTGCCAAATGAGTTCATATTTGGCACCTTAGTAATGTTAATAACCATACAATTCCTTTTTGGAAAATATTGACCTGTTCTGGATTTTTTCTGGATTTTTTTGGGCCAATATGGCTGATTTTGGTCATCTTTCAGAGCCAAAATACTCAAAGAGCTATTTATTATTGTAAAGCAACATATCTCTCTGCAAAGTTTATCTATATATACCCAACCAAGGAAATATCCAGCTCGGCAAATAATGTTGGTGTCTGGTAGATGCCACAAAAAAATGGTGTAACCTGCATATTCAAAGTTTCCCAATTTTGCCGCCTAATTTGTAACTAGTGACATATGATAGGAACTGGACTTATAAATAGATATAACAACAAAAGGAAAAGAATGATTAATGTTTCATTTAACACTTAAAAAAAATAATCATACATAAATACAAATTATTCATTATAAATCTAGAGACTCCCAGGAGCTGAAATAGCTCGCATTGGCAAATTGTGCACCTAAAAACGATAAAAACACTCATTTCAAAAGCAATACATTTAAAAGAAAAAGATAAACAATTCAGAAGAAGTTCAGACTGTAAAAAACAGTTTCTACTGACCACTTTTGCAATTAATTCTTATAAAGATATTGATATAGTTGTCGGATAAAGGCAGAAAATGTGAAAATCTTTAAATTCACACATTTCAGGGACGATAACTCTAAGATGTAATGTCCTATTTTTTAGAAAATTTTGGGGTATTTAGATCATGTCAACTTGATAGTTTTTATCAATATATATATAAGTCTGAAAATTACACCCGACAGTGTTAGAATTAGACTTTTATCCTGACAAATTTTTGTCCCTCGACGGGATTCGAACTCACACCTTTGATACACTACAGCACCAATCGCTTAGCCTCATGTCCAGCGCTCTCGACCACATGACCACATCCGCTATATAAAAAATATAACTTCAATAGTCGTAGTGTTACCTTGTCACGTGAGGCGAATCTAGAGATAGACATAAGACATGTTTTTTAAGCGTGTGAAGATGTTATATTATTAGATTATACACAATGTATTTGTTATTTGTCAGCAATCTAGCTCAACAATTTTTATATACCGTATGGGATATTGATTCAATTCATTATACAGTCACTAGAAAAAAGTATATCATACAAACAAGTCTAAGCAAGTGACAACCATACAATATATATGCCCACTAGATCTCAGTGTGTTTGAGACACAGGGTTAATACAAATATTTGTATAAGTCTGAAAATTACACCCAACAGTGTTAGAATTAGACTTTTACGCTGATAAATTTTTGTCCCTCAACGGAATTCGAGCTCATATATATATATATATATATATTTGTATAACACTTCTTCTAAAGTTATTAAGATAATGGTTTAAAAGTGAAAACTGTAAACAGTTACAAAATAGAGATGATTTTGACAGACACTTAGTGATGGAAAATATTTTATGGCCCTTTGAGCTGGTATGCTAACAAGGCAAGATTAGCCAGGTACCTATATCTATGTTGCTGCAATGTGGTCAATAAAAACATGAAAATGCATCTTAAAAAAAATCCCATAACAAAACATGATATGACAACACGTTAACACCTTATATGTAGCAAGTGCTGTAACGATACACACATTTCATTCAATGTACACAGTTTCTTTATATTTCTGTCACATTATATATGCCTAACAGCTTGTCCTATATTTTCTTTACAATGAAAATCATCCTTTAGCCCTACTTCTAAATCAGCCATGGCTACAACATGTAAAATATCCAAACTCAATGCCTTTTATTTAATGGCATGCAAGCCATTTTATTAAAATAAAATATTTACAAATTACTTAGTCTGTATATACTAGTGCACAATTTATAAAGAATTTTGAATGAAATTTGATAGCTGTTAAGATTACTGTACCTATAAGGCCCTACATAACATCCTCGGATATAACAGACTTGAAATAAGTCATATTAATCTTCAAATTCCAATAAAGTTGAATGTTTTTTTTTGTACTTGAACGGCCAGGTTTTACTATAAAACAAGTGTAAAATTTTGTACATTAACTTTCTGGTAAAAGAAAATTCATAACATTAAAATCTCCATAAAAGAACTGCTATTTTTAGAGACATCATCCCCATCGAAGATGTAACTGATGTTTTAAAGTTGGAAAGTTTCCATTGCTAAGAATATTCATGGCTTGGTTGAATTTGTCTCTGTCAGAAAAATTACCAGTCTCCCAATCTGATGTTGACTGCTGTGAAAGTTCAGTTGTTGTTGACAGAAAGGTTAGCTGTGAGTCTAGATCTAAAAACCACAAAACATACATACATAAATCAGGCTGTTATTTTCTTGTTTTCTTGTTTTTTATGGCATGTCAAACTACCTCTAAAATAATTTTACATTACAATCAGACAATGGTGAAAATTTGACCACTTTTGGTGACAATCTTGGAAATGATGGCCATATCTATATCTGTTCTCAAAGTACAGCTAAATATCAATATTCTTTAGAATCAAACTCAACAAAGTTGAAAATTTGACCCTTTGTTGTGGTCATCTTTAAAAAAATTGTCCTTGTTTTGTTGGTATGTCGAAAGTGCTATAATTCCTAAATGTCAATTTTTATATAAGGCCATCTTGAAAATGTTTGCCATTTTGGAGGAAAAACAACCTTACTTTGTTTAGCATGTCAAACTACCATAACTATCCTTAGTTTTGATTTTTTTGCTTTTCTTGGTGGCCATCTTGAAAATGTTTGACATCTGATAATCTTCGTAATATTGTGCTCATCTTTTCATTAAAGTTTCATTTTAAAAGATTAGACCAGTTATCTCAGAGATGGACAAATGTTGTAGAAGGCGAAGAAAAAAATGCAAGTTTGAACACAACATTCAAGCATGATACAGCTCTGAATTTGTAATGGGATTAAGTATTTTACAAAGTATAGGTTTCTAACATAGAATACATATGGTATAAAGACATGGTTAAATAGATTCAACATCCCAAAGAACCCTAAGATTTCAAATTTTGATAACATTATATAAATTTAATTCTGGACCCTTTGGACCTCAATGTGAACCAATTTCAAAACAGGGCCCAAAATAAAAAAAACAAAATACAGGTTAGATTCAGCATATATAGAATAAGTGTTGAAATCAAACACAGTTAAATTTAGGACCCTTTTTGAACCTACTTGAAAACTGGGACCAAAAACATGCGAGACTGACATGCACAAAGTACATCATAAAATATTTCCATATACCAAATATAGTTGACCTATTGCATATAGTATAAGAAAAAAACCACCAAAAGAAATACATGTACAACTTACAATCATTCAATACACTAAATATATTTAACCTATTACTTATAGTTTCTAAGAAATAGACTTAACCAAGAAAACTAAACATTGACCAATGAACCATACAAATGATGTCAAGGTCAAGTGAACCATGTTAGGCAGACATGTACAGCTTACAATCCATCCATACAACAAATATAGTTAGCATATTACTTATAGTTTATGAAAAACAGAACAATTACAAAAACTTAACACAGAGCAATGAACTGTTAAAATGAGGTCAAGATAAATTAAAACATGCGAGACTGACATGCACGACGTACATCATAAAATATTTCCATATACTTAATATAGTTGACCTATTGCATATAGTATAAGAAAAAAACCACCAAAACTCAACTTTGACCACTGAACAATGAAAATGAGGTCAAAGTCAGATAACACCTGCCAGTTGGACATGTACACCTTACAATCATTCCATACACCAAATATAGTAGACCTTTATATATTGTATACAGTATAAGAAAAACAGACCAAAACACAAAAACTTAACTATAACCACTGAACCATGAAAATATGGTCAAGGTCAGATGACACCTGCCAGTTGTACATGTACACCTAACAATTCTTCCATACACAAAAATACTAGACCTATTGCTAATAGTATCTGGGATATGGACTTGACCACCAAAACGTAACCTTGTTCACTGATCCATGAAATGAGGTTGAGTTCAAGTGAAAAACCTCAAGAATTCATTTTTTTTTAGAAATCAAACAAGAAATACATGTACAACTTACAAACATTCAATACACTAAATATATTTAACCTATTACTTATATATTCTAAGAAATAGACTTAACCAAGAAAACTAAACATTGACCAAAAAAGCATACAAATGATGTCAAGGTCAAGTGAACCATGTCAGGCAGACATGTACAGCTTACAATCCATCCATACAACAAATATTGTTAACATATTACTTATAGTTTATGAAAAACAGAACAATTACAAAAACTTAACACTGAGCATGAACTGTTAAAATGAGGTCAAGGTAAAAGAAAACATGCGAGACTGACATGCACGACGTACATCATAAAATATTTCCATATACCAAATATAGTTGACCTATCGCATATAGTATAAGAAAAAAACCACCAAAACTCAACTTTGACCGCTGAACAATGAAAATGAGGTCAAAGTCAGATGACACCTGCCAGTTGGACATGTACACCTTACAATCATTCCATACACCAAATATAGTAGACCTTTGTATATTGCATACAGTATAAGAAAAACAGACCAAAACACAAAAACTTAACTATAACCACTGAACCATGAAGATGAGGTCAAAGTCAGATGACACCTGCCAGTTGTACATGTACACCTAACAATTCTTCCATACACAAAATATACTAGACCTATTGCTTATAGTATCTGAGATATGGACTAGACCACCAAAACTTAACCTTGTTCACTGATCCATGAAATGAGGTTAAGTTCAAGTGAAAAACCTCAAGAATTCATTTTTGTGTAGAAATCAAACAAACTTTTTATTTCTGGACCATTTGGAAATTAATGTGAACCAATTTAAAATGGGGCACAATACCAACATCTTAAATTTAAGTACATGGTTAGATTAAGCATATCAAAGATCCCAATTTTTTGTTTAATTTGTTCTTGTCCTAAACATGCATGAAATATTTGACATTGAACATTAAGCAACCAACAACCAATCAATTAATCTAACAGGTGAAATATCTTCAAAAGTACCAAAAAAATCTACCCCTTTTATATTTGAAATGGAATGTATGAACAGTTCATTAGTTCATTCCTAAGTTGACAAGGACATAAAGATTTAAATATTCTACCCATCCCCCTCGCTTTTTTTGGAATCAAATGGTCGTCCCTTTATCCTGCCCAAGACAGAAAAATGTAGATAAAAGTGATTTAATTTGTGTGCACGATGCCATAGGAAATGAATAAGATGTCTTTTTGAATTTCCACATGCCCCCTCACCCTCCCCCCCTATAAGGAACAAATGAAATTTGATCGTAAGATTTGTACCTGTTCCTGCTGGAATAACTCGTCCTGTATACAGCCCGTTATGAAGGGTGAAGATCCTTAGTCAGCTTTGGCTTTGCTGGAAGGATGGACATCTTGCTCCACAATTATGCCAATGAATTCCATGAAAGTCCCTGTACTTCGAGCATATTCTAAGACAAGATGATGTAACAACATGGTAAAATGAACCATTCCTAGTCTTATATAAAATAAAGAGTCCTGGAGGAAATTCAACACCATAGCTTTCAGTATTATCATGATTATGCAGACTTCTGAGATGAGCGGTAGTCTGCATCTGTATGAATATGATTGTTAATAATACTAGTTTTAATACAATGGTATAGAGAGTGTAGTTGATTTATTGACGGTGCGCAATAGCAGTTTTGACACTCTCAATCTCAATTTCTGGTGCGAGCATATATACATAATACAGTGTCTACAAGGTGGTTCCACTCAATCACTGTTTTTACTAAGAATGATTTAGAATATTGTTATGTTTTGCTCGATGAAATCTCAAAACACTTTTTGTTGTTCTTGGACTTGTTTTTCCTATCAATATTTATTTACTAATTATCTGGTAATTGTCAAATTTCCTTGCAGTAATTATTCTTTTTGGAAATTCTATTTTAGTCTTTAGTGCATTTAGATATTTTAAATAGTTTGTATTATGTGGATGTATAATGCTGGGATAGCCCACATGCTCCTCCTAAATTAAAAAAGTCACAAACTTCACTGTAGACGTTCTTCTGCCAAACCATCACTGGAATCTGACATGTTTTAGATCTTGCCCAAGGGAAATAAGTCAAGGAAAAGCATAAAAATGGACTCCCTAGTTTCAGACAATTAATTGATTTTTGCACTTGCAGTACATAAATGTCTTATTTACATTTTATATCAAATCGATTATACTCTTTTAAATTATTTTAAATGCCATTTTATTTCAAATTGTAATTAGAATTTAGTTCACATCAAAATAAAAAAGTGTAAATTTAGCACTTAAATCACCATTCTTCCAATGCACAAATGAGCATCTAATAATCATTTGTCAAGCTTAATTTTTTGTTATGATATAAAACATACCCAATCGTTAAAACTGATATAAGTTGCAAACATATCCGGAAGAGGTCTTGCAAGATAGAAGCAAACGAAAACCACGTAAATTCGTGTCTAAAAACTTCGCCTTTGTGTCCGTACTCCTGGCAATGTGTCAAATTGTTTAAATTATCATTTTTATTGATCATAACATAGGCAAATGAATGGGTTCCAACTGACATTACTCTTAAAACTCAATTACCCCATTTAACATGCTTCTGAGTCATTCTTAAAAGGCATAAAAAGGTTGGATTTTTTCTTGGTTTCATTATGAATTTACAGCATTATGCAAACGAGGCTCTTACTAAAAATAGATATTTTTCTGGGAAAAATTAAGTGGTAAAATTCTTTTATTTTATGTCAAGGATTAAGATGATGTATAAGAAATTGTCAAGTTGTGATTGTTGATTTGGACGATTTTCTGAATATTGCATTGTTTTCTGGCAGAATGGCTCTTAAAAAGATGTGATCACTCAGGTGTAACCGGTAATTATGATATTAAAGTATAATGAACGTCAATAATGCCTCCCATGCAATATCCTAAATTCAGTATAACCACGCTTCAATAAAGTTCTGCGCTTTGATTTTTTTTTATTCTCTGAAAATATCGTACGACAAAAAATATCCGAGGTTCAAAGACGGCAAATTATCGGCATGCGGTCAACAGTGATGTCCTTTCAAAACATTTGACGTTGGCTATACTGAAGTCTGCCGGCTTGCATGAACACACATCGAAACCAATTTCTTAAAAGACTTGTCAAGTTCCGATGGACCACCTGTAACATCGCAGCGTTCGGCATTGTGTTTAGCGAGATGTGATTGGAACTTGATTACCTAGTTCATGATCAGTTGGTTGGAGGCGAGCCGGTTTCTGCTGTATTGTATACATGAAAGAACAAGAAAGGTACGGCACATACCCCAAGGAACATTCAACCAACATTCCCTTAAGTTGGAGACTTTGAAATAATATCGGGATGCATCTCTCATGATTTCAAGTTGGACTTACGTTGGTGACAATACGAGGAAAACTAACAGGTGATCAATACTTCAGAGAAAGTTTACAGCCAGTTGTTGTCCCCCATTTTGACAACCATATACTAGCTACAACTCCTGTGTTTTTCATGTTAATGGTTGACAACGCCAGGACGCATAGTTCAAGAGCCATAACCGCCTACCATATAGGTAAAGCCATGACCTCTCTTACATGGTAAGCAATGAGCCCGGATTTGAATCCAATAGATCATATTCTAGACATGTTAGGCCGTCTACAGGCAGGTTAACCTGCTCTATAAAACTTACGGAAGTTGAAAGCAGCATTGCACCGATAGTGGCGACCACATCCACAGCACGACATCTGAAGTCTAACTGGAGGGATGAGACGCAGGGTTGAGGCAGTTTTCAAAGCACGTGGTCGTTTCACTCGATATACAATTTTGAACCATTGATGTCGTATAGTGACTTAAAATTGACGTTTCCCAAGTGAAAATACAATGTTATTGAGCATTATGAACTCAAGAGGTCAATTCTTAAAATGTACATGTTTTAGTGGAATAACTGGCCTTGTGATATTGTGATAATCTATTCAATTCAGTTGCATTTCTGTTTATGTTTAGTGTGTTTTAAGTTGATGAAATGTTCAAACAGAACACATTTGTCATTTAAAATAAGCTTAGCATTGCGTTACCTTTTTCTACGTATCGCCCAACAGCTAGGTATGAAGTCATGGGACGGAAAATTGCAGCGTTCTATAGAAAGCATAAAATTGCCGATATGGGGCGGCAACTGTCTGTCATGGTTTCGTAAGTGATAACTTTTAAGCAGATAAACTATTTACATTATTCGTTCATTTATTCATTTTCCTCCAAGAACAAGTATCATTATTCACAAAAAGTCAAGATTTGCCGTATATCATATCCTTAATGGGATAACTGATCATCTTGTAAGTAGGTACAAAATACAGGCTTTTTGTTAGACACGTCGTCGAAGAGAGTCTATAACCTGCAGAGATCTAAAATATTACAGACCCCAAACAGTCAAGAGAAAACAGATCGTTTTTACATGTATACAGATCTCAATACAAGCATTTCTTTCTAATGACTTATGTATCTAACTTGAAACAACATTTTTTAATTAAATAAAATGTTTAAAAGTGCTTTAAGAAAGTGTCGTCTAGAAGGAGTCTTATAAAGGATTTGATTGATATTGTTCTAAATTTAAATGATCTGTATTTACAATCATGAATTATTAACTTTTCATTGAAGTTATGCAACATACTTGTTTCGAACAAATGGCGAAGCTTTTCCTTCATCTTGTTTATTCAAGAGATACTTTACATCCTCCAATTTTCCGTTACTAGCAGCAACGTGCAATGGAGTGTTTCCAAGGTAATCACAGGTATCCATTTTGAAGTATGGGTACCTGTTAGAATTAACAAAAAGATTCGGGGTTTTTTTCAGACAAGGCTTTGCTTTTTGTAATGTACAGGTCTTTACAAAACCCATACAGTGTTAACATCTATGTTAGGAAAAAATAGCTTCATCACCGTTTTGGTATATACTATGTACAAAACAAAACCAAGAAAAATGCAAAAAACAAATGTCAATGGCACTGCAATCAGTTGTATGTTTACAACATTTATTTAAAACGTTTTTCTATTCATGTTTGGTTTTATGAGATACATATAGATTCTACCACTGCATCAACCGCGATACGATATTCCTCAACTCGAGACAGTTCAATTTTCAAATTTAAAACGCAAGGCTTGCCGAGCATTATAAATATTTAAAATTTAACTGTCGAGAGTGACTAAAATCGAATTGCACGATATTTGGTGGTGGAATCTGATAGAAAACTCAGTGGAAAACAAGAAAGTTTGATGTCATAATCGAATATATACCAATAAAGAACTGAGATCAAACTAACCACACATTGAATTAATAAATTTAAATTAATTAACAAGTCGGGAAAAGGATATATCGGGTAGGAATTAGAAAATTGTACTTGTCAATTGTGACTTCACTGTGATAAATCAAGTAACATTATAATGCCATGTAATTGTTGATTCGATTAAAAACTAAATATGTATTAATCTATTTACCGTAAATCAGTTTGTTTATGTAGTATCCCCTTTGATGAATCCAGCATTACATGAACCAACGTATCTTCTGTAGCCGACATCTTCACCTAATTTTACAAAATAGTAAAATGACACAATATTATATTTCAGGTTCTATGAAATTGATAACATAATGTGACGTCAAAGCTCTAATGATTCGCTGCGTTATATAAATATCGGTGTTAACTAGCTTTATTCAATATACATCTGGCTACCACGACGTTTGCTTTGTAGTTAGCTATCAATGAGTATTGATGTTGAGTGAACTTAATTGTCAAAATTAATTTATATGTGTTCATCTTGTTAGTCCATATATCTATCAAAAAAACTAATTTCAGGAATGCAGCTTGTCAAATATTAGTCGTCTGAAAGGACGTCAATTTAACAAAAGTAACAATAAAGTTAGGACAAACCCACCATGACCACAGTATTAAACGACAAAAAGACAATCAAATGTCCACAAAACAATACACAGAGAAAAAAAGCAAAACGTTCTTCACCAGTAAGGGCCATCAACTCATGTCCCATTGTACGTTCAGTTCTTCCTGCTTCATATGTGACAGCCGTTGTGTTTTCTTGTTTTAATTGTTTCTGGGTTATATTCTATGGTAAGGCAATTGTATATTGGCATTTATCTCGTTTCCCACTTTATTGCATAAATAACGATATAAGCTCTTGAACATTATCGAACCATTATTAGAAAGTCGATGGAGATAATTGCCTCTTTGTAAAGGTAATGCCAATAGGATTTATATTTTATCCGAATTCATTTTAAAATCTTTTAAATCTCTATATTCAAGAATTGTACTTGAGATAACGCTTACTTGCACATTTCAATAAAATAACTATTTCCAATGGAAAACACTTTTGTAAAAGAAAATTTACTAGCTATTATCAAAACTGTCTGATTTATTCCAACTATTAACCTTTATTACAAATTTTATCAACATCTAGCAAGAATTTTAAACTTGAGAGCACTAACAAAACCGAATGAAATGGCAAGCGGACACGAGCACAGACAAAAGGATCCCCAGTATATCTTTTTCCCGCAATGCTGAACATAAGAGTATCGCCTGAATTCAATTCGGATGCGATGAGACCGGTTTTGGTGATATGATAATTGTCTCCTGCTTTGTATGCATCAGCCACCATTTGAACCCACACTCAGTCAAAATGTAATCAAGGTTATAGGGTAAGGTCAGATTCCCTTTGTTTTATCTTACATTTAAAGCATTCGATACACTGGAAAGATCAAATGATAATGCATCCAAACTTAACTCTTTGTTAACAATTCTCACGATTATCATCCACAATTCACAGAAAAGTCGTGACGCCAACAAATCGGTTCTATTAATTTGAAATCATTTGCAAAGTAAAACGTACATGTACAGGAATGTGATTCCTACAGCGTGGCATGAAATGACAAATTTTACATTTCAACTATTATCATTATTATTTAATTTTCTAAGGCTTTTTTTCAAAATATCAAACTTATGACAGATTATCTGTAGTGCAATAAACAAATGGAAAAACAAGCACAGTACATTGAAACCGCAATGAAATATTAGAAAGCTAAAACAGACCAATAAAACATTAATCATTGTTAATAAAGGACTTGTCACATGAGCATATACTTTTATAGAGTTGAGCTTATAAATTCCCGCAGCATTCTTTTTAAATGCAGCTTTGTACAAAACCCCAATAGCCCGAATGATTACATTTTACCATAACAAAAGGTTAAAAAAAAAGAAATAAACGGAAAGTTATTTCGTTGTTTTGTTTTAGTTTCCGTTTTCGTTATACTTACTTCATAAATAGTTGTTTCAACAACAAAGTTTTGGTGGTATATCATAATTACACTAATATGACAATAACACACACAAAGTTATACAAAAAGCTGATTAGGATGTACTAGTTTCTTATGACTCTAATATTTTTATGATATTTAAAAGAAAGTAAATTTACATCAGTTATTTCACTTCTGTTTTTGTGGTACTGTTCAATTTTGGTTTTAATTTCAGCACTTGTCTTTTCATTCGCTGGAAGTCGATTCCATCTATCAAAAAATAAAAGATATAAGAAATTTTGATCAAATAATGTTGCCTTTGTTCTTTAAAAAGTAAAATAACAAAAATACTGAACTCCGAGGAAAATTCTAAACGGAAAGTCCCAAAGCTAATGCCAAAATCAAAAGCTCAAACACATCAAACGAATGGATAACAACTGTCATATTCATGACCTAGTACAGGCATTTTATTTTATGTAAAACGAATCTATTACTGCTTGCATGAAATCAACAGCCATTTTTTTGACAAATCGTCTTTCTTGAATTTCATGTAGGCAAATATAAGAAGCGGGTTTAACTGTTCATGCATAAAGAATAACATTTAGGGTTCAATATGAATTAAGAAGATATAGTATAATTGCAAATGAGACAACTCTCAAACTGAGACCGAATTACGTAGAATTTAAGAACTTTAGCTCGTCGTAAACAAATGAGAAAAAAATCCATCCCGCATAGAAATCACAAAAAGGCGCAGGGTCAATAATACATAGAATTTGGTTGTGTTAAACATGTTTTCGAGCGCCAACATCCGGATAACGTTTAGTGTTGTTGAATTTGTTAATTTAGTCGTAATTTGAAAGAGTCGGAAATCCAATGGGAACCAATTGTGCCCCTCTTCCTGCTGACATGTTTCTTTATTATTATGAGGCTGGCTTCATACAGGAACTTCTTAGGAAGAAAGATAAGAAGTTAGCAATATCCTTTAACTTTACGTTCCGCTATATAGATGATGTTCTCTCACTAAATAATGAAAAAAAATTGGTGACTATGTTGAAAGAATCTATCCCATCGAACAAGAGATAAAGGATACTACAGTTAAGTCTGCCTCATATCTTGACTAACATCTAGAAGTTGACAATGAAGGTCGGTTGAAAACAAAACTTTACGACAAAAGAGATGATTTCAGCTTCCAAATTGTGAACTTTCCATTTCTATGTAGCAACATTCCAGCAGCGCCTGCATACGGAGTATATATCTCCAAATTGATACGATATTCCCGGGCTTGTATTTCCTATCATGATTTCCTTGATAGAGGATTGCTGCTCACAAGGAAACTATTAAACCAAGAGTTCCAAATGGTGAAGTTGAAATCATCCCTTCGTAAATTCTACGGACGCCATCACGACTTGGTTGACTGTTATGGAATAACCGTTTCACAGATGCTATCGGACATGTTCCTTATGTCGTAACTACAATACCCTTCTCTTTTCACGAATGTGACCTAGACTATTCACCGGATTTGTAATAACATAAGCAACACGACGGGTGCCACATGTGGAGCAGGATCTGCTTACCCTTCCGGAGCACCTGAGATCAGCCCTTGTTTTTGGTGGGGTTCGTGTTGCTTAGTCTTTAGTTTTCTTTGTTGTGTCATCTGTACTATTATTTGTCTGTTTGTCTTTTTATATTTGGCCATGGCGTTGTCAGTTTGTTTTCGATCTATGAGTTTGACTGTACCTCTGGTATCTTTCGTCCCTCTTTTAGTTTGCCATAGAGTGTGATTCATAACAATACAAGAACCGCAATTGTTGCCCATAAGATTACCTACAACCTGCCAATAGACCTAATTCACTGCCGAATTGCACAGGTAAATATATGTTACCAAGCAGAAAATTTATAGCTGAAAGGAATCCTCTCATCAAACTGCAAGTTGGTAAATATTTAGCATGTTTACCTTTTTCATTACAGAATCAGGCTTTATACAAGTTGAAGCAAATATATTTGTACACAAATTAGTATATCTTTTTTCAACGATCATTAATGTAAAACGAGAGGGTCAATTTGATAAGATTATGTAGCGAGCCGAATAGTCAAAACTGTCAACCAAATTTATATAACCATCCAAAGCAGGGAATGTCTCCAAAACATCCAAAGAACTGTTTACACTCCAAACATGATAATTCCATTTGCATAATAGCAAACGATAATGATAAGTTCTTTGGTAGAAGTTGAGAAACTATGTAATAGATGATAAGTCGTAGAATACTAGGGAAGGCCGGAAGGTGTTTGTGTAGGTTATGTTACCAATGCAAATGTTCAGAGGAAGCCTTAGGTGATATGTAATAATGATATGATTGTTTACTATATGACTCTCTGTGTAGCACACGAACCTGACTATTGACGAATTTATAATTGCTTTCATAAGATCTTCCGGCTAGTATTTACGTCATAATAACAACAGCAAATAATCGCATATTAACGCTACAAACAATCGACATGTTAAACCCATTGTATCTCTGTATCTCTTTATTTAGAAACAAATAAAAAAGAATGTTATACTAAATTGAATACCTGTCTGGAATTGAAATGTCAACTTTTGCCTCATCTATGAGAAACTCAACAACTTCCTTATGACCATTGCAAGTTGCTAGATGTAAAGCAGTTCTCCCACCGTGATCTCTTTGATTCATGTCAATTTTCTCATTGAATAAACTTTAAAGAAAAAGCCAAAAGCAAACATGAATAAAAGTATTTGTGGAATATACGATTTAAAAAAAAAACTATACACATATATCGTTAGTCAACTTTAATAGCTCGAGATAGGCAAAACGTGTATGTATTTACCGTTATCGGCCTTTAATTAGGGACACAATAATTTTGATTTTGTAAATAACCATAGACATTTTTGACTTTTTGCATGAATTTGACATTTTTCTTTCATAAAGATAAGTCAAACGTAAACAAAATGAGTATACAATTAAAAGGCGTATCAAGAAGAGTACGGTCATCCGGATAATTGCACGATTTAAAAAAAACTTAATCCATGTTCAGATGAAATGACTGTTGTCCTCAGTAAGGCGTACAGTTTTCCAGTTGTTTTAGATTTAATCGTTACGATTTGACGATTGAAAGTATGACAAAAGTAAGATAATCACCAAATAAGACTTATCACGAAATGTGTACATATCATAACCATTCGACAGCACCTGATGTCATCTTTCAGTTGGTTCTTGTTGCTAAGTCTTTAGTTTTCGATGTACTGTTTCGTGAACTAATTTGCTTTTCGTCGTTTGTGGCTTTTTGTCGTGGAGTTGTCAGTTTATCTTCAACTAATGAGTTCTATGATATCTCATTGCTGTCGTCCGCCTCTTTTTTTACATTTTATATAGATATAGGAAGATGTGGTAAGAGTGCCAATGAGACAACTCTCCATCCAAGTCACAATTTATAAAAGTAAACTATTATAGGTCAAGGTACAATCTTCAACACGGAGCCTTGGCTCACACCTAACAGCAAGCTATAAAGAGCCCCAAAAGTAGCAAGACAACGTTGATTAATAATTAAATTTTGTACACCAGACGCGTGGTTTGTCCACAAAATCACATCTTGACGCTTGAATCAAAAAGTGGAAATGGCAAAACGAAGGAATTTCAACCCAGCTTATTTTAAATAAACAAAAAAAGCTTGTCTCATAAATAAACTCAGGTCTGCTCTTATTACGTGTTATGCTAATTCTAATATGACGATCTTCTTCCGTTGTGTAATTAACAGCAATATAAAATTATTGATATATTTATACTTATATTAATGGTTGTTACTATTTACCTCCCACGTAAATCCGCATGTATTGTAACCTATGTGCAAACACTATGTGAATATTGTTATTTGACAGATTTCTTAGACCTTTTTATACCAACGCAGTCTTATTTATTATTATGAATATTGAAATCATATTTGTTTTCGTTGTCTGTCTTCTTTGCGAGATGTTCCGTATATATTTTCATCAATGGAATAAACACTTAATTAATATCGTTCTTTTTCGGGATTAACCTGAACCATGAACGCTAAAAACATACAAAAGCTAGGTATGCTTTAACATAAGAAAATATATGATAAAAAAGGACCGAAACAAAATTAAAAGCTTATGAGTTATTAACATCGAAAAAGTCAATAATTGAAATATTTTCTTTTTGCAGGACCTCCTGTTAGATATAATGGCATTAAATTTATACTGCCATAATGTCATGCGTTTTTTAACATAAATAATATCTGTCTAGTTTTTTTATATTAGCTTATTTTACTTTTATGATCACCAGACTTAATAATTGTAAATGTAAAAATACAGTTTTCTATGTTATATAATTTTAGCATTAATAATGTCATAACTTGCATAGGTGTCGTTTAAACAGACGAAATTAAAAAAAAAAAAATGCTATACTATTCACTGCCGATCAATAATACCTTTTAAGTACTGCTAAATCATTGTCTGCAGCAGAATTTAGCAATTGACATGTTTTAGTGTCAACATTTTCTTCTTCTGCCAAATCCTACGAAAACAAATTATCCTAATTATTGTTTTACTGAATGTATACAAAAAGTATATGGTTTACCTCAAATGTTTGCTACTATTTTGCACTTACTATCATGATATTATGGTTGTTGCGATGTTGAGTAAAAAAAATTGGTTAGACATTTTAATTTTGAAAATGTTTTTTATTCTTCCGTCTATATACCCAACAATCGTTTTTATATACAGAATCTAATAGCCATATTCCACTTTGGAAAAGAATTAGCATAATGTTATCGACAGTCAGCAAATAGTTTAATATTTATTGATATTGCCGGAGTTTAACAGTTCACCGGGTTCTAAACATGATTTAGGATTACATTTTGGATATTTGTATTATCAAGATAGCTTTAGCTTTTTGGTTGCAAGCTCTATATCAGTTATACATGATTGAAAAAATAATCTCATCGACAATTATCATTATAAAAGTTATTTTGTTAGAATTTGGACTATAATAATATCAAGTTTAATTATTTCATTCCAAACTGTTTACTGTAGATTCATTATTTTTCGTTTGATACCAACTTTCGTGGGTTTCGTGGGTACAGTTAAACCACGAATTCAAATGTTCACCGAATCAAAAATTTTCAATTCGATTTGTATGTAGAGATTGGCAAAAACACGAAATCAAATCCACGAAAATACAAGTTTTCCTGTATCCACGAAAATTGATATCAACGAAGATAAATGAATCCACGGTACCCTTTAAATAATTGGTGTTGGTACATCAGGAAAAAATACCTTGAAATTCTCTTCCACACATTTGCCTTGAAATATATTTTTATGTAATATCACGAAATCATCTTTTTCTATTTTTGAATAAACCTCACATTCCACTTGATCTGTACATTACTTGACACGTATAGATATTGTGGCTACTACTGTAATAGCGATAGAGTTTCAGCAGAGTTTTCTACTTAATTCACAAGGTCACATTTAGAAATAACCTAAAATCATGTTAACTAATATATCAGGTCTAAAGGTCGTCTGCCACCCCACCCCCCCCCCCCCCCCTCCCTTCAAATTTGCCATCTTGAACGACAGGATGATCAGATAAAATTTCGAGCACCTTTTTGGCGTTGCAATTGTATAGAATTGTTTAAATATTCTTTATTATGGAAATATTTCATTACAATTTCCCGGTTTTTGCCGTCAGAAAAGTTTACAAAATGACGAGAAAAAACCCGCTACATGGAAATCTAGATTTAACAATAGTATCAAATAAAAAAAAAACACTGTAATGAATTCATAGAAAACTTCATCATTCTCAAGTGTCAACCGCCGTGCTGCTGCATTTTCACACCATTAAGTAAGCATATATTCTAACCGAGGTATATGCAGCGATTGCGTGCGACTGTCATAGAAATGAGAGGTTTATCTAGCTATAAAACCAGGTTTAATCAACCATTTTCTAAACAAGGAAGTGCCTGTATCAAGTCAGGAACATGGCAATTGTTTTCCATTCGTTTGATTTGATTGAGCTTTTGATTTTACCATTTGTTATTGGAACGTCCAATATTGATCAGGCAGGTGGGACCTGTGCAAATTCTGGTTATGACAAAAAAAAGTAAATGTCCTATACTGATTTGAGCTGTAAAACCTCAATGTTCTATGACTTGCATGCAGAAAAAAGTATGTTTCCTATTACACTTTAAACTGCTAAGAGTCTGAAAAGACCCTATTTTGACTGGTCGAGCACAGATTTGACGTGACCGACGTAATCTCGACTGTACTTAAATTTGGTCTCAACTTTACTTAATAAGTTTGATTGAGTACTTAATAGGGTATTTTGAAAATTATACACATGCACATGTACAATACACCCTGTGACATTCTCTGAATTATGGCCACCATTTGCTATGTTCAACATCAAATTATGACCATTTATTGGGGGTCATAAAACCTGGGATGTTGGCCATTTAGTGGGGTCATAAACCATGGGCTGGTGGTCAGTCTAATAAGGTTACCTGGAGAGTTCTATTGTATAAAAATAGTGTGTAAATGACATCCTGCATCAAAGTTTACCTGTACAGGTACAGTATTCTTTCTCCTTTTCAATTACTTACATGCGAATTAGTTTTGTTTAACGCTTGAAATAGATTTTTTTTATTTATTCATTTCCAAAGTTTAGAAATTATCTACATGTATAGGCAGCAATGTAGTATTTTTTATTTTTGTATAATTATGTGATACTAATTTTATCATCATGTTTAAATATGGGATGCAAATTAAGTCCCTTTCTCAAGTAATGTCAAGAATTTATATTGTAGAAAATTCATTTGACTCTTTTCATAATGCTTATGACATAGGAAGTAAGGTGGTTTTTTTTTATTTTTAAATTTTTACAACTTGTACACAAAACTTTTGTCAAAATATAATACATAAACTTTAAAATTATCTGTCAATATGGTTTGTTTTAAGATTTACTTTACTTGCTTCATTGTGTTAAGAAATATATGAAAACAGACAGAAAGCCACAAAGTAGATAAGATAAAAAGTCAAAGATATGTTATTGGCTAGCATATGAAAACAAAACAGAGAATCCTTGAAATAATATTTATTTTTAAGAACAAAAAAGTTATTGTACATCATGTACATTGCATCAATTGTTCATTTGCATTATAAAGTTGATATAAATTAATAATTATTATTAATTTCTTATCATACAAATGATATGTTTATATGTACCATTTTGCCATTACTTTAACAAGCCTGCTTTCTATATAATTAAATGATATATTGTCAAAACTGCTGAAATTGCATGGTACATATTCTTGATATACATATGTCAAGATTATTTAAAAAAAAAAAACAAAAAACAAAAACAATACGACCTTTAACATGTTTAAGATAACGTTAATAATTGTAGGGACTTGAATGCAGTAAAGCCCTTGATAAAAAAAATTAAAAACATAAGAATATTTTTGAAAATAGAATAACAAGTTACGATGAAATAGTAAACTGTTACTTTTAAAAACATTTTAAATTTAACTTGGATAGAGAGTATTGTTTAGGGTCAAATACCTTTTCTATAAGAAAATGCTTCTATAAGTTAAGAATTAGTGACCATAATTTAGAAACAAAAAAGGTCGCTAATAGATCCATGTGTTCATTTCTTAAAGAATTGTTAATTCTTTGCGTTATTATGGTTGTTTGTTTTTTCTAACTAATTAAATAACTAATCATGTTTATTTGACCTTAAATTTGGTTTTAATTAATGAATATTTTGAAATGTCACTAGTGAGAGAATGAATAGCCTAAATTTTACATACATGTCCAAAATGTACCCAGATGTCGATATCGTCGATATCGACAATGTCGACACGATATCGAATCGATATCGATGTTTGCTTCAAACATTCATGACACACCAAGACATACACAGATGTTGATGTCGTCGATATCGACAATGTCACACAATATCGAATCGATATCGATGTTTGCTTCAAACATTCATGACACAACAAAACATACCCAGATGTCGATGTCGTCGATATCGACCATGTCGACACGATGTCGAATCGATATCGATTTTTTTCCTTAAAACATTAATGACATACCCAGACATACCATGTGTTTCATTTTAGTTGTGTTTTTGGCAAGCGACGTTTTTGTGTTAATATTTATTGCGGCTTTTCCCGTAACGTTACGTATATACTTTATGACGTTTTGTACGCTTAGTTTTAAATCAGAAACCATACAGTGCAACATTGTAAACACCAAAGGTTGATTCTAAGATGTCGTTTTCTTTTTTCATCTGAGCGTCACTGGTTGGTCTTGTGTGGACGAGACGCACGTCTGGCGTATTGAATTTTAAGCCTAGTACCTTTTGTTAGCTATTATTCGTGTATTTCTTTGTCCTATATGTTCTCCCATTTATTTGTATTGTGGTCCTGTCATGTGATGTTGTCGTTTTGGTGTTGTGTTTGACGTTGCCATAAAAGCAGGTTCAACCCACTATTTTTTTTTTAAAATGTCCTGTACCAAGTCAGGAAAATGGCCATTGTTATATTACAGTTCGTTTCTGTGTGTGTTACATTTTGATGTTGTGTTTTTGTTGAGTCGTTGTTCTCCTCTTATATTTGATGCGTTTCCCTCAGTTTTATTTTGTAACCCGGATTTGTTTTTATCTCTATCGATTTATGAGTTTAAAACAGCGGTATACTACTGTTGCCTTTATTTCTTATTACAATATGATGATAGTACAAAGCTTTGTTATGACGAAAAGATATCAGTTATGGAGGTTTTCGATGAAACGACAGCTGAAACTCTACAAAATATTGCTTCCGCAACAGTATTCCGCCAGAGTTATTGATTCCTCCGTTTTTAGCAGCTTGTGTGCATTTCCTAGGAAAATCTGCAGTTTTGCCATGGGACACATGGCGACAACCAGCAATAATCTACTCAACAGCTATAGGTTTTACAGGCACTAATAAATCTGCAGCCATGGATATAGTTAAACAGGCTATACAAGAGGTGGAATGCACACAGGGAATTTCATTTCAAAATTCTAGGATAAATCAATGTAAGTATTGTATACTATTAAGGTAAGTAATTGTAAACAGTGAAAAATGTATTTTTGTCTACACTCTGAAAATTGTGTTTATAGAATAACTACGTGTACTATACAAATGCACATGTTATAAGTTATAAACACGTTTAGGAATATTTTAACACGTCTCCAATTAAGAGCATTAAATGTAAACATGACTTGAATATAAATATAGGCAAAAGAACTATATAAACACATTTTATGTTTTAGAATTATAGTGTTCCGAGTTAATGAATTATGTACCAGCTTAACACGATTTAAACTAAACATATGTAAAGAACTAGACATGTGTAGACCTGTAAATGTATAAATTGTGCACAAAAGATATGTATTTAGGATTTAAACACCATTATTATAATCACAGAAAGAATGCCTTTTTTTAATGCATTCAAACGGAAATAATCAGAAATTGGTAATAAAACTTGATA